GAAATGTCTTTATTATTATATTTATTGCAATTAATACATTTAATAAAAATGAAACAACCACAAAATGTCATATGGAAAAAAATTAATTGAAAATAACCACAAAATTATATATGACAAAATCAATTAGAATATGACAAGTGACAAAAAGTTCTTTATTTATTATGGAGGATGTAATAAATATGGCATAATTTAAAAGAACTGTAATCTATGTTAAATGTTATTTTATTTATTTATTTATTTATTTATGTCATGTATATAAAACTAATTTCTTTATTGCGAAATTTCAGATCAATATTTAGGGTCAGTTTACGGTTTAATCGTAACATTTATCTTTTGAATAGAAAAGTTCAAATTATCTAACTTTATACGATAATCTGTTATTTTCTGTTGAAAAAAATAAAGAATATTTCGTTACTTTGGGCAAAATATAAAATATTTAGAATTTTTCTGTTTAAAAAATAAAAATTGAAATTAAATCATAAATGGACTCAAAATAATAAAACTTTATTGAAGATTTCCTTCTTTATTCGTACGCATTTCAATATATATAAATAATTAAATCCTCTATAATAAATGAAGATTTTTTTGCCACTTATCACACTCTCATTTAATTTGCCAAATGTCATTTTGTGGTTATTTTGAATTTTTTTCACATGTCATTTTATAAGTTTTTCTATTTTATATAATATTTTAATGTAATAATTACAATAAATCTACTATAATAAATGGAAATTTTTTTTGCCACTTGTCACATTCTCATTTAATTTGTCAAATGTCATTTTGTGGTTATTTTGATTTAATTTTTATTCCACATGTCATTTTATGGTTTTTCTATTTTATTAATTCCACATAGTATTTAAATACAATAATAAATGCATCTTAATTTCCTTAACGAATTTTCCTTTTAATTTTAATATTACGAAATTAAAGCTTCATTAATTTCATTTATTTATTTTTCTAAATTATTTGTTTAAATTTAGAGAAAAAATACTTTAATTTTTATAATTCAATATTTTTTTTTTATTTTTCTTATAAATTCAAACTTCTCAAATGTTTAAAATTTTATATTTAGTTTTTTTTCTTTTAAATAAACTCATATAATACATGAGTCTCATATATAGTATAGTAATAAATTAATATCAATGTCATTAATGAACTTACATTTTAAATTAAAAATTCTCAAAATAAAAACTAATTAGTTTTTTTGTTTATTTATTTAAATTATTTGTTTAAATTTAAAATATTAAAAACATTTTTATTATAATAATTTATTATTTTTCTTATTTTCTTATAAATTCAAAATTATCAAATATTTAAATTTTTATATTTATTTTTTTAAATTAACCCATATAATATATGAATCTTACAACTAATAATGAGAATATTTTGGGTTTTTAATAAAAAGATGATGTTGAATTGAATTACTTAGATCCTTCATGAAAACGGTGATATTTTGAAAATAGAATTTAAAGATGTAAAATGAAATCTTCAAATTCAAAATTGTGGTCAAAATTTACGTGCTACAAATTTCCTAAATGGAATTTTCAAGTAGACAAAGGAATTGTTTTTTTTTTTTTTTTTTAATGCAGAATTAGGAGTTTGTGGTACGTCGACCAAGACAAAAAACTTCAAGGACCAAATTGTAATTTCATCGATCAGTCGAGTTTATGTAAGGAATCATGCATCAATATCAATATCCTAAAATATTTCTTCCTCCAGCCGTCATTGCAACATCTGTCATAAAACCTCGAGCAACCTCCCAAAAATCTCAACCACGTTTCTCTCCCAGGTAATTAATTCTCAATTCTCAATCGTTGATCTTCATGCAAATTCATTTAATATTGTTATCAATTTCTATGCTTCAATTGTTTCGAAGCACTTTGAATCTTTGATCAAGGAATAGCACGTGTACTTCGAATATTTTGCAATTGATTATTTGGACTGTATAACGTAATCAGTTTAACGTTTCCTTCACGTATCTACTCAATCTTTTGATTTGGCGATTGAAAAAACTTCATCGTTTGCATATGGTAACTTATATTCTTCGGTTGATCTACTGCAATTATATCGATTCTATGTTTTTAAGCTCTGCTTTAGTATTTTCGATTTTTTTAATGGAATTGCGTATGCATGTTGCTTTGCTTTGTTGGAGTTTGGTCACCTAATGAGCAGAAAATTGTTGATTTCTAACAATCGAGTAAGTTTTTCATGTTCATTCTCTGTTCTGATTGAATGATTTTGTTCGCTTGACACAATTAAGCACAAATAGTCCCATAAAACACCCACGATTTAGGTCTCTGCTCATACCCACTACTTTCTAATGGCAGATTAAGTTTCCTGATGAAATACTAATCAGAATCGGGAATCTAACTAATCTGTAATACGTTTTTACACATCCCTATAGCAAAATTTGATGTTGATGTGTTTTGTTTTTATACGAAGGGAATAATTTTAATTTACTGTTGATCAGATGTCTTCATCTTCATGAGAATGACATTTTCTTTTAGGCTTTTGTGGAAACATTACTCATTGGGGTTTCAAGACGTTTGGTTTAACTTAAGGTTTATATGGTTCTATTTATACATATGAATAAATCATCAAGTAGTCTTCTTTATTGGCTTATTATTATGTTTTTGTATTTCATGTTTACAATATTGCTTATGAGATTTAAATACGTCTGATAAAATTGTATGACAATTTTTCAGTGTTCCAATTCCAATAAGTTTTATGCTTTACAGCAATGGGTAATGAAGTTCAGTATATACTGGAAAGCAAGAGATTAGTATGGCTTGTTGCAGTAGTATTTGCCATGGTTATAATGTTCCAGTACTTTGAATTCCCATATGGTGATTATGTTTCATCATCCTTATTTTCTGCTAAAAAAGCTCAACCACCTGTAAGTGGAAGCCTCCAATATGAAGCTTCACCACAAAATCCCAAATCATTAGACAACATCACCCTTTTTGATGGCTCTAATCATACAAACCCTTTGGATATACTTGAGAAGGGTAATAAGATTATAGACAATGGAGACAAAAATGATGTTGAAGTGAAGCACAATTCAACAGTGGACAAGGTTCAAGAAAATGGAGGTTTGGTTAATGATAATGCAACAAAATCTGTTGGAAATTTAACTATCAATAATGTTAGTTATTCAACCTCACAAGAAAAAAATCCAGATGCTGCAAGTTCACCAACTCCTATAACACCCTCAACATCAATAGTTTCTATTTCTCCTTCAACGGCAATATTGGATAATAACACATACACATCTAAAGCAGATATGGGTGCACCGAATTCAGACCACAAGAACAAATTGGCTAAATCACATAAAAAGCAAGTGAAGAAAGCTCCATCAATGGGGGATGTAGTGACAATTTCCAACATGTATGACATTTTACTTTATAATCGTGCTAATGTTCGATCAATGGTATGCAAGTTCCACAATTGTTATTGTGATTAAAAGTTTCTTTGTAGGTATGCTTGATTTGTTGCTTATATATCTTACAAATTTTGTAATGTAGAAACCATTGTGGTCTTTAAAAGTTGATCAAGAATTACTCGATGCAAAATATCAAATTGAGAATGCTCCAATCAATGGCAATGATCGTGCACTTTATCCTCCTCTATATCGTAATGTATCGATGTTTAAAAGGTAATCTTTTGGATCTAATTTTTATCTTGTTTATAGTGTGGTGACTCTTGGGTGAATACTTGTAGGGAAAACCTAAAAAAACCCAATATATTTTCATCAGATTCTTAAAAAAACCGCTATATTATTTTTTTTAGTTTGTAAAAACCCTTATGTTAATGAAATTGTCTAATTTAAGGCTTTGAGATTGGTAAACCGTAGATAGCCATAAATGCTAGGTAATTGGCTCTCAAGGGTTTGCTGGTTACAATCTACGAGATAATAAAATTTCAAAAAATATAAGGGTTTTAAGACACTTAAAAATAATATAATGTTTATTAATGCTTAAGATGAAAATATGTTGGGTTGTTTCGAGGTCAAAAAGCCTTAAATAAGGTTTTTAGAAAATATTGGGGTTTTAATGCGCTGAAAAAATAATATAGTAGCTTTTTTCAAAATTAAATAAAAATATGTTGGGTTTTTCTATGGGCCCTAAGGAACATAGTCTTTCTTTTTTACAGTAATAGTTTATGTTACCATTTGCATATGCAATGTAGGAGCTATGAATTAATGGAAAAGACTCTCAAGGTTTACGTTTACAAGGAGGGAGAAAGACCAATATTCCACCACCCACAATCAGTTCTTAGTGGAATTTATGCCTCTGAGGGATGGTTCATGAAGCATATGGAAGAAAGCAAACATTTTGTCACTAATGACCCCAAAGATGCCCATCTATTTTACCTTCCTTTTAGTTCTCGAATATTAGAAGAGAAATTATACGTGACTGGATCTGGAAGTCGCGACAACTTGGTACAACACTTGAAGAACTACCTTAACCTGATCGCTACGAAATATGATTCATGGAATAGGACTGGTGGGTCCGATCATTTCCTCGTTGCTTGTCATGATTGGGTAAGTCATACGATCCTTACCGTAACCCAAGTTTGACTAGGCCGCGTTTTTATACAGGTCAGGACAAACAAACTGTATTGTGTTTGACATGTGTTGAATTGGGATTAAGACTAATGTTAATGGGACAATAACTTTAAAAAAGGTGAAAAATATTGTGGGACAAAAATAGTTTTTTATTTATTTATTTGTCCCACCCAAAAAGGTGAAATAAGATGGGACAAAATTACATTTATATGTTCCAAACATAAAAATGTGAAATGGGGATTACAACTTATGTTAAGTGGAGAAAAATTACATTTTATTGTTCTATATCCAAAAGGTTGAAACTGGGATTACAACCAATGTTGATTGGACAAAAAAAATAACTCAGTCGTAGAATGTGAAATGGAACAAAAATTACATATCTTGTCCCACCCTAAGGTCGATTTGAGGATTAAAATTGATATTAACATGACAAAAATTGTATTTTTTTGGTTACAACCAAAAATGTTACATTGGTATGGGACAAATTATATTTTTTTGGCCTCACTAGAAATGTGAAATTAGAATTAAAACTTTAGTCAATAGAACAAAAATTGTATTTTGTGACTCATCCAAAAAGATGAAATAAATAAAACGCCACATATTTCCACCTTTTGTTCCATCCAAAAATATGAAATAAGGTGAGACAAAAAGTGCATCTTTTGTAATTCAAAAATTGCATATTGGTGTTAATAAACATTTTTTTTTGAAACGGCAAATCTTATCTTCTAAACTACTCCTTAAAATCTACATATATCCACGATTAGACTTGAACCCTGAACCACTAGCTTTAGTTATTTATGAACAATTTTCCTTTTGGTGATTTGGAACTTACCAAAATCAAACTTATAATTTCAGGCAACAGACGAGACAAGAAAAGCCATGGATACTTGCATAAGAGCTCTATGCAATTCAGATGTCAAAAGAGAAGGTTTCCAATTAGGAAAAGACGTTTCTCTCCCTGAAACATACATCCGCTCACCCCAAAACCCATTACGTGAACTTGGAGGCAAACCCCCTTCCCAACGCCCAATCCTCGCCTTTTTTGCAGGCCAAATGCACGGTTATGTCCGCCCCATTCTCCTAAAACATTGGGAAAACAAAGACCCCGACATGAAAATCTTCCAGAAGCTTCCAAAATCTAAAGGAAACAAAAACTATATTCAATACATGAAGAGTAGCAAGTATTGTATTTGTGCTAAAGGTTATGAGGTGAATAGTCCTAGAGTGGTGGAGGCTATTTTTCATGAATGTGTTCCCGTAATTATATCGGATAATTTTGTCCCACCTTTTTTTGAGATCTTGAATTGGGAATTGTTTGCGGTTTTTGTTCAAGAAAAAGATATTCCAAATTTGAAGAATATTCTTGCTTCTATATCGAAGAGGAGGTATCTGGTGATGCAACAGAGAGTTAAGAAGGTACAACAACATTTTCTATGGCATGTTAAGCCTGTGAAATATGATATATTTCATATGATTTTGCATTCGATATGGTATAATAGAGTTTTTAGAGTAGATTCGGGTAGTTAGTTAGTTATTGTGAATATATTTTTTCAAAATGCGATTTTTAAATAAGATGTGTCATTGTTTATTGACTTGTCAGTTTTGAGTCGACAGATTTACAATGCATTTTATCGTCTTAAAGAGTTATATATTTAATGTTTATCATCAAATGTTTTTTTAGAACGACGGAAAAATATATAAAAATTGACCAATTACAAAGTGTATAAGATACAGAGAAGAAAAGTATGAAGTGCAACTAGAACCAAGCAAAAACTTCAAGATTAGGGGTCACAACACACTAGGGTCAGAAAAGCAACACCAGGGGTAAAAAAGTCCATTCTAGGACCAAGGCTTGAGAAAGACCCCATTTAATTTCCAATACTTATGGCAATATCTATTTACTGAAATCCAACAGCAGCTTCAGTGAACGGGGGCAACCTCCTCTAGTGTAAATAAATCAAAATCAAAATTTCTTACACCTAGTGGGTAATTTGTAGTTATAACCAAAAGCCACACTTTACCTTGAGGCTACTATCATTAAATGTTTGCTGTTAATTTTCATCCACAAAATTTTGAGTTTTTGACCAAGTAATTGTAGTTGTAAAAAATAATAACTTCTTGTAGTTTGTAATTTATTTACCTAATAATTGTATCTTTTTACAAATGAAAACTTACTACAAAAAAAAACACTCTCACTCACTACAAATAACCTCACTACAACTCTCATCCTATTCTACACTCAAGCCTAACTACAAGAAAATAAGAAACCTAAAAAATATGAAGAAAACGATCTATCAGAACTAATTAAAGAGAAAAATATGTTAGGGACCTTAGCGTACGATCTGGTCTGTTTCCCTCTCGACTTTGGATCTTAGCACCCAAAAAGTCTGTCTGTACAAACGATCTAGGCCTGTATTCGGGGAGCGTCGGCCAGAAGATAAGGGGAAAAATCGCACAGACTTCTATACAGGGGAAGGACCTTATAATTATAAGAAAAGAGAGAACAGCTAGTCAAATTACAGCCTTCTTCAACTGCTGAGTCAACCCTAAAAGTGGATCTGGCATCAAGCCTATCCCTTTAACCTTTTTCCGGGTGGAAAAGAACCATAGTGTCAAGCAGCCACTTCAAAATTAGCTGTCTCGTTTTCACTATATTGAGCTTTACATTGTCATGAATAATGGAATTGCGGTCTTTCCAAACTTCCCGTAGGATAAAGAGAAAAAACCCTAATAATTGTGTGTCTCAAATGATGCGCCACACAACATTCTATATCCCCACTATTCAAGCCGGATACGTATGGATAGACTCATAGACCCGTGAGAACATATAGAAGTTTAACCAGCTTTACAATTTTTATCCACCTGCAACAAAAATGTGGATAGTGGAGTAAAAGTGTCTAGAAACGTGTTATGGGAAGGAAAAATAGACTATATTTATTTGTAAAGGAAAAAATAAATGAAAGTGGAGTAGCCCAAGTGTCTAGAAACGTGTTATGGGAAGTGGAATACCCGAGTTCTATCCTCTCTATCGCTATTTCTTAACCTTTTTAAGGTGAGAATGTATGTTTATAGGTTAGAAATTGGGTAGGGTTTACCCCTTGGATCGTGTAAACACTATTTATTAACCTTTTTAAGGTGAGAATGTATGTTTATATGTTAGAAATTGGGTAGGGTTTACCCCACCTTTTTAAGGTGAGAATGTATGTTTATATGTTAGAAATTGGGTAGGGTTTACCCCTTGGATCGTGTAAACACTATTTCTTAACCTTTTTAAGGTGAGAATGTATGTTTATATTTTAGAAATTGGGTAGGGTTTATGTAACACCGTAATTTTTCAAACAATTTTTCACATTTTTAAAAGCACACTTTCATTCATAGATGTTATAAAAATCTCATTGTATCACATATCAATCCATAGAAACACATCCCAAGATCATAATGTATAAAAACTCCTCATGTGTGTATTGATCATGCCGGCGCCTTCCCGCGATCCTCACTGGTACCTGAAACACATAACACAATACTGTAAGCATAAATGCTTAGTGAGTTCCCCAAAATACCACATATAACACATATTAGCCACTCGAGGCTGTAACTCTGTGGACCCTCCGGTCCTAACTCTGTGGACCCTCCGGTCCTAACTCTGTGGACCCTCTAGTCCCAACTCTGTGAACCTTCCGGTTCTAACTCTGTAACTCTGGAACATACACGACATAAATCACATAGAAATAATGCAGTGTATCACAATCACATAAATAGCATACAAGATACTCTATCACATAACTC